CGAAAGGAGGAAAACTTCCATACGAAGTTTGTCGGCGATTAGCCAGATTGTGGTCATCAAACTTACAGAACCTAAAATGCTACAAAAAAAATCATGATTGCTAAGCTATCATATTCTGACCATATACATCAAGGAATTTAAATAAAGTTTAATATTAAAATGGAAAAGAAATAATGCATAAAAGGACAGTGTTAATATTGTGGGAGGCACCACGCGATGTTAATTAAACCGGCGCTAAATGAAACAACATTCTGAAGGAATGCTGTTCCTCCTCTATTTTTTCTCCCATATTTTGAGCTACACCACGCTACTCAGGGCGTCCTGTTCATGCACCAGACCCCAAAACGCTATACTTGTCCCAGGCCTCAACCACAAGCATACGCCGATCAAATAATCGATTAAGAGTGAAAACTATCAGCACCGACCACCCCCACTGAAATTCCATCAAACAACCCACAGAAGCCGGAATCGAAATGCAATTGAAGTGTATGGTGGTATGTCATATGCAGCCAAACTTGCGTAACTCTCCCTACGGCGGAAAGAACCTCGTGCAGTGACTTGGGTTCCAACTACGTGCGTGGAATGCCCGACAGGCAATCAGTGAGTAGTGCCATAGTTCAGAGAAATAAGACCAAGAGTACTTCGCGACATTCTAAAAGGCAACCAGGTCCTAACGCGCAACACCAATAGCGAAACCCAACTATTAGCGTTAATACGAAAACTTAAGTCTAGGTCCTGAAGAGCAACACCAACGGCGAACCAGACTACTAGCGTTAATGCCAAAACCGCAAAACACATGCAACAGCTGCCCACTGACATTACCGACAGATCATTATAAAAAAAGGGAAAATAGAAAAGAAGAAAACCAAAAAACTGAAAACAGAAACCAAACCTGTGCGGTAACTGGCACCAATAAATTCTGGTAAGAGTGAACAAAACCTGAAATATCACATGCGCAAGTTGCAGTCACAAAAGGTCAATCCCAAAACTCCAGGGATTCAAGAAGCAGTCATCACGCCAAACGATTTCCACTCCCATGCCAAATACATTCACACTTCCTTCTGGGTAACATCTAAAAATCCCAATCACATGGCATGTTAACCCCAGACAGTAAGGGAATAACCAAAAACCAGGGAGCCGAAAACAACCAAAAACATCTTGACGCCATGCTTTTGGTTCCAAATTTTTGTTGACAATTTTAAAAATATTGATTTAGTAAAGGAGGTCGCTTCACACGTGTCCGTTTCCAGAATTTATTTGTCTTTTACATGCATTCGAGGACCCTAATGGCAAATGCCAGTTAGGTGAATAAAAATTCTCTGTATAGGAGCGGAGGAGTTTTTCTTTGTAGAAGTATCAGATCTGATAAAGAAACTCAGTAGATTTATTTGAACTATGTCAACCTCATATTTTTAAGCATGTATTTGGCTTCAACTTGCTATACCTCTCAAAAATAAAACTACTTATTGTTAATAAAAATGGAAAATACTGCAGGACAACAGCACAGAAAGTATTCAAAGTACCACCGTATTGTCACTCTTTTTAATCATTCCAGTTGACTTTACAAAAGAAATTCTGTTATCAAGGTGGTCCTAAATAGCACCCACTACATCAACTACATAAACAAAAATACTTTTTGGAGGTGTTTGATTTCTGTACGAAGCACAGTTACCTACTTCATGTTTGACAATGCTTACTACCACCATATTTATGGATTGGGCATGGGAAACCCTTTATCCTCCATCTGTGCTGACAGAGTTGTGGCAGAACTACAAAATAAATGTATAAAAAACTTAAATATCTCTCCCATTCTACAAAAGATATGTGGATGACATTATAACAGCAGTACCTGTATAACTGATAAAAACGCGAAAACACTTGAAATTTTCAATAGCCATAATCAGAAATTAAAATTCACTATTGAATAAGAAAATGATAACAAAATCTAATTTCTTCACACGCTACTCATTAGATAAAACAGTTCACACATTTAATTTGTTGGTACCATAAAAAAAAATGTGAGTCTTACATAAGAAAAATTCGCAAACACAGCGAGTTTCACTACAATCTATCGTACCATTCTCCGGATATTGTCGTATTGATATTGATAATGTCGGTGTAGTCGAGTGTAGACTGTGCTACGAAGTGGAAATGTGCGATAGATACTTAAACATTGTTAGTGGCGAGTTATTCGAGAAATTTTAAAACCTTTTTATTGTGCAACTATCGGGTTTGCGCTATAAGTGACATGAATGCCGGAAGCTCACAGGAATCGGAGTCAGACCCGGCCTCCCACGACGGGTATTTTCTCAGGCCCTGGAAGGATTGGACACAATGCTGATTGAGGGCTTGAAAACGATCACCAGTGAGGCTTTCACGCTTAAGTAAACGAAGGAATCACTAATAGTGTACTGCAGCACCATCCTGGACTGGGCGACGGTAAAACGGTCCCTGAAGGAGAATAAGAGCCAGTACCATACCTACGCCCCCTCGACGGAAAAAACACACGCGTTCGTCCTGAGGGGGTTAGACGGGAAAGTCGAACCGCGTGCGATTAAGTAGGATCTGGCGGACAAAGGGCTGGTGGTGAAGAGTGTCTTCAAAATGAAGACTGTTCAGGCCGCTCTACTTCGTCGTCACCGACGACAAAGCTGAACCTCACTCACCTCAAAGTCGTCACCTCAAAACTGAAGCTCATTCCGAAAGCTGAACGCCGAGGCGAGGGTGGTGTGCAGGGTTAGGGTTTCATGGGAAACCCGCAAGAACCGGAGGACTCTCACGCAGTGTCGTCGGTGCCAGGGCTGGGGCCATGTCTCCGGAAACTGCCGCCGGTAATTCAAATGCTCTCGATGCGCCGGGGGGCATGAAATCACCGCCTGCCCCGCTGGATCAGTCCTAAAATGCGCCAACTGCGGTGGGCCTCATCGCAGCTTTGACGAGGCCTGCCCAGTCTACCTGTTCAAGCAGGCGCAAGTCCATACGGAGAGGCGGCGTTTCGTCCCTGCTCCTCTTCCAACGAAGCCAGCCTGGGGTCAAAACAGCCGAGCACCTGGTCCGATCCACCCTCCACCCCTAACCAGCAGGACCATAGCGCCAAGTCACGCCAACAGGACCATGCTGCCCCCGCCACCGCCTTCACTAACGGAGTTTCCTCCGCTGAGGCAGCACAAAGCTGTCCCGACGAGCTCTGCCCACCCAGCCCATGATATAAATGGGAACGCGGTGGCCATGCTGGACAGTGTCCAGCGGGAATTCGCCGAGCTGTCGACGTAGATCAACTTGCAGGAGGTAATAAAAGCGGTTCGTTTTGATAGCGCTGCATTGAGGGGTTGCGCCTCGAAGACGGACAAATTCCTAGTCTCAGCGCAGTTCTTCAATGAAGATATCAACAGCTTCGATTTTTTATTGATATTGTTAACTGTGTCCTATGAGGATTGGGGAATGGAACTCATGTGGACTCCGGAGTCGTCTCGGCGAGTTCGAGCAGTTCCTCGCGTCTGAGGACGTCGATGTGGCGTTAATCGTGGAAACATGTTTGCGCCCCGGAGACAGAATCGGAATACGGGGGTACAGGCTCGAGCGTGCCGATAGGCCCGGTCTAAGGGGTGGAGTTGACATAGCTGTCAGAGCAACGATCCCATACAGGAGACTGCCATGGAGGCAGTCAGTAATAGGCAACGTAGGCGTAGAGCTTCCTGATGGTGCTTTGATCTACTTTGGGTACTCTACTTCTACTCGCTTACAGAACACTGACGTTGATCCATTTTTTCAACACCAATAGGGTGTTGTTTATGGGAGATTTCACCGCCCGCCATCCACTATTTAATAACCCTGGACTGAAAAACGCAGCTGGCAATTTTCTAGCCAGCTACGTTCGCAAGAATGGCCTACTATTATTAATGCCCACATCATCTCCAACGCATTATCCGAACCGTGGAATGAACCCATCTTTCCTTGACTTCGGAATAGCCAAAGGACTCGCCAACCTCACGGAGATGGTGGTTATAGACGCCCTCGGCAGTGGTCATTCGCCCATTTACCTCGACATTAGGGATTTAAAGCGCATACAACCTGACGACTTTTGATATTCATACGAGGAATTAGATTTTCGCGAATATCGAAACACACTACAAGACCTGACCGGTATTCCGTACCGGATCGATACTGTCGAGACTCTCGAGCTTGCAGTAAAAGATCTCGCAAAGAATATACAACGGACACAACAAGCTTTGGCCAAAAAATTCCCGAACAGACCGCGGCGTGACAACCTTCCTGAAGAAATTTTGGACCTAAAAGGCGAAAAATAAAATCAGAAAGCGTTGGCAGCGCTTCAGGCAATCTGCTGATAGTATAACGGCAGCAGAGCTTGCACGAGACATCCAGAGCAAAATTTCCGCATGCAGAAATTTTACCTGGGCAGAAAAATTGCGAAACTTATCTCCCCGTGACAATTATTTGTGGAAACTGTCGAGAAGCCTACGAAAAGGCTACGAGCAAGCGGAGTTACATTACCACCAGTGACAAATGCGAGCTGATCGCACATAAAGTCCAACCAGCCCTTCAGGAGAACGAGATAGAAAGCCAGACCGCTGTTTTTGTAGAACGGAAGTATCCTATACCACCCTCTATTTTGCATTCCTATATAACAACCCCGTCGGAGATACAATCGTGTATTTGGCGACTCCATAGCCGAAAAGCCCCCGGATCAGACGACATCCCTTATTTACTCCTCAAAAACTTACCGCGGAAAACTATTGCGCTAATAGAGCAAATAGTCAACGCAGTCCTTAAATTGCAGGACTTCCCACAGAAGTGCAAAACTTCAGACAAAACAGGACTGAAAAACGTTGTAACTACGCATTACATTATTACTGTAGTAATTCCTGTCTTGAAGCCGGGCAAAACATCGACTGATCCCGCCTCTTATAGGCCAATTTCCCTCCTAAACTCCCTCGGAAAATTAACCAAGAAGGTTATCCTATCGAGATTACAGTGTACTAATACTACGCAATGCTAAATCCCGCATTGTACATCACCTGAGTTTATTGACGCCGTGTTTCGACAAATAGAAACTTAAAGTGAGTCCCAGGAAGACTGAACTTATTATCTTCTCTCGCAAATTCACTAACAATAAAATCCGATCGCCACTCATGGTCCAAAATACTCCAATCAAGCCAGTAAAAGAGGTGAAATACCTGGGATTCAAACTAGACGCTCGACTCCGTTTCAACAAGCATGTTGACTATGCTATATAAAAGACTTGCATGGCGCGAAGAAAACTGTACTCTCTTCTGGGGCCAAATTCATTTCTGTCACCTCAAAACAAACTTCTGCTCTACACCTCCACCATAAGGCCCATACTGACTTACGGCTCCCCTATCTTGCATTCTGACAGGGGTTCCACGAGACGGCGTGTTCAGTGGACCCAAAATAGGGCCCTGAGAGGCGTCCTATCGGCTGACAGATACGCCAGAATAACCGAAATGCATGAAGCTACAGGATGGCCTATATAGCCGACTATATAGATACCATCGCTGCTGAATTTGATCATAGCGGAGTGCAAGGCTCAGTCCTTACGCGAAATATCACCCAACCCATGGTCCCCTGTATAAGCGACTTCCCATATTTCATGAGGATTTTGTCCCTGGCAGTACGTGACGACAAACAAACATTGCCTGCCAAATGCAGACAGTCGTTTYCAGCTGACTGGAAACGCACAAATCCAACATAACGTGACTTGGCAGTTTCGTCCTGTCTCGTTCTGGTTGGTGCTGGCTGGTCTTTGCACCGATTGGGGCGGGGCGGATGGATTTCGTCATCTGGTTGAGACTGCCAGCGGTTAACGCCACGGCTGACAGTATCAAACTTAAAGGTCAAAGCAAAAGGGGTTTTTGGCTTCCTTTCAGGAAGACCTTTTTTCCTTTATGAATGCCCCTCGAATAAAACCAAACCGCCACTTCAAGACTATCTCCTGACGTTGTCGTGCGTATGGCTAGCTCGGGAATGCCCATGTTAGGGCACTGCCCAGGTAATGGACGACTTTTTAGATGGCGCCTATTTAGATCATGGGCAGAGAGCAACCAGCCGAACATCTGGCCAGGCATGGGAGGGTTTCCTGAACTTGACTCTTGTTTTAACTTTGTTTGTGCGTATATGAATGTGAATGTTTAATAAATTTTTATCTATATATCTATCTATCTCCGGATATTTAAAAATATAAAAAGTTTTTGAAAAACTTTGATCATCTATTGATTGGCAGAGGAGCCGGCCATTTTTTGTTAATAAAAGTTAGGTCAGATCGTCAGAATATCGCAGTACCCTTTTGACCATGCGCTTACGGGACACCCTGTATATGTGGTAACCTTTAAACTTACATATCTGAATAGTAAGCGTCATGCATAATATTACTTTTGTTACATTGTTATTTCAGTTTTTGTCCACATTGTCCTACCTACTTTTTAAAACATTTTGAAAGTCTTTATATAACGTGTTCACAACGACCCTTTTCAATTTCTGAGTAACCTAATTGCATTGCTAATAAACTCGAACTTTATGTTTCATAATTAATTAGTTTAACGTACATTTGGTTCGCAATAAACTAAGTGAGCATTTCCAATAATACATCTACTCGCAGCGATAGTAACTAAGTGAACTTTATCATATCAAGCATTAGGAAACAAATTTGTTTACAATTCATGGTTTGCACTTTTGTTAATTGAATGAACTTATTTACTGTCAGTTGTAGTTATTGAGGCAACTCGTTTTAGGGACAGGGGAGTATCGAGTGTGATTCGAATACGTAATGTGTTTGCATTTTTCCGGGTTGCCGTCATTGAAACAATTACTTTGTATATTTATTGTTGATTTATTAAAGACATATTTAAATAGATATCAGCTTTGGAGCATTAGGTGTCAGACCGAGTACTGATACGCACCTAGAATGTTTCTTTAATCGGTACTATTCAATTTTGTAATGAGTAAATCAGTCAAAAACCGATATAAATGAAAGTGATGCAAGTCCAATCCTGACCTGAAGGCGTATTACCCACCCATTAAATAAACTAAAAAGTATTGACTGAATTTAGTGGTCAATCCTTATATACAATTGATTTTACTGAAATACTATAAACACTGAATAAAGATTAGAACGGCCAGAACAATATTAAAAATGGTATTAAGCTATAGCAGAAAAAGTTTGATGTCGGTCCAGTTTATGTGCAATGTTTGTGCCATTTTTGTAGTCGTACCGCTTTTTAGCTTCCAAGAGAAGCGATTTTTAAGAAGAAAAACCTTTTTAGTTTACTTGTCATTTGTTGCTGTTATTATGATTGCATCAGAGCTGGAGACCATTTACAGGTGTTAAACATTAACTTTTTCAGGTTAACTAAATTCTTACCGCAACATTTGTAGTATTTATTTAATACAAGACTTTACATTGGTCCATTTGGTGGCTGTGATGGGCGAAATTTGCGGCGTTCTGATTTGGTCTACTGCTTTATATCAGACTTGCTTCAAGTGGCATGTTTGGGAGAGTTTGTTCACAGACATTCTAAGCTTGGAAGATGTTGCTCAATTAAATACTATTCGAACAAAAGAACGAAATGTGCTAAAGAATCCGAACTTTCAACTTCTACTGAGTTTAATGATCATTATTGCATTACTTGTGTATGAAAGAATTACATTCAGAGGAGAAGAAAAGAAAGTATTTCTGTTCAAGTAAGTTCAAAAATGAAGTCATTACATTTACAAGATGTCCCATAAATATAATTTCACGATGTTTTGTGTTAGATTTTCTATATACAGGGTGATTCAAACTTGGCGTCATTCCTTTGGAGCTGTTGTCTGGCGCTGTTATAGAAGTACAGAAAAAATAGTAAAAGAAATTAATTCTTATTAAAAACTGAGAAATTTGCAAAACACTATATCAGAAATACGGCAGCAATGTTTTTCAAGGTAATCAGCCTAATTAACAGTGCGCAAATACTTGTGGCTTCGTAATTATTTAAAACTCCGGTAACCGTGGAATTATACAGAGTGACAATAAGATAGGCAAAGATAAACGATAAATTCAATAAGATTTGTTGACTGCGAAACGTACTTTCGAAATGTCAACCTGTTCTCATAACCTCGAATATTGGTGTTTATAAATAAACCTAACATTTGAATTGTTAACTCCAAACAAGCTAGTGCCTGTGTAATCTCCTTATTATCCACTCTCATCAAGCAGCTTCTCGTATTCAGTTAATTAACTCCTACTCCCTAGCCCTTCCTCGGTACCTATTTATTTGGTGCGTGAGAAAGTGTCCCTATTTTAGCTATTGTGCTCTGAGTACCCGTGGATGGCCCTGATTAGATTATGTCCAATGCTTGTTCCTCTGTGCCTGGAACCCGAACATCGATTGTCGTTCACTATCTTCCTGGAACCACTCTCCTCGCCCTTTGTTGGCGTGAGTTTTTTCGGCTTCTGCTCTGTTACTGTAGCATTTCCCCTGAACTAATCAAATATCAGCAAATTCGTGAAAAGAATTTCAAAGTAAGTCACAGGTTGACAAATTATTGTTATTATTAGCAAGGGCTATCTACCTGTACCTATCTGTTAATGACAAAAAACATCATTGTCGCATTGACTTTCCATCAAAAAATTGCAGAACAGAACTTTTTCAATTTCAAAAATTTTTATAATTTGAAGCAAAGATCGTAATTTTTCTTTTTGAATGGTTAAGTATTCCAATATGCTACCAATTAAACATGGATGAACAATTTCAAAATAATGTTTAATAACAAAGTTGAAATTCGATCTTCAACTGTTAATATCTTCTAGAAATTTTCGAAAAACATTTTTTCAGTATTTTTCTTGTTCTCCCCAAGGGATCACCCCTTAAAAGGAATGACGCCACTTTTGAATCAACCTATAGAAATATTTAAAAACAATTTATTATTATTAAATTTCTTATTAACTCGCGTTTGAAACAAAGTGCTCAATGCCGCGAAAGTTTATCTGAAATATGAAGATACAAATATTTAAGTAAGTAATACCTAACTTAATACCTGCTTGGATTCATCTAATCACAGGGTTGCTAGCAATTCACAGCTTAAGTTAAAGCATGTCCTTAGCTAGATCAGGATCTGGCTAATATTATCGTCTCTGTACTATGCTGAATAAACATATAAATTTGCCTTTACTATGGCTGCTAATTTACTAAATCAACTCACTTTTCAACTCTTCGAAAATAAAGCGAGTGAAACATCCAGAGCAGATTACAAAATTATAAAATTGAGTTTTGCTCTGATGTCAAAAGCTTGGTGCTCATATGATTTCCACATTTGATCTGAGCTCGAACTATATTTTAGGAATCTACTTATGTACATCTTATATATTTTAATAGATGAAAATTAATACAAAGTAGGGATGGTCGGTATTTAACGTAACCGCTAAAATAACAGTGTTCCAAACGTTGAATTTGAAACCGCAGTTTCAGCTAGCCGATATAACCGGTTTTTTTGGAACCGTCTCATAAAACCGAAACAGCTATGCGCACTTCGCACCAGCTAGAGCCGTTTTCCGATTAAAAGGTTGTTCTTGGAATCGTCTCATAAAACAGAAACAGTTGTGCGTACTTCGCACTAGCTGCAGCGGTCAGTCAGAGATGAAATCAAAGTTATTTGAATAGTAATAAACGTAGTAAGGTCGACATTTTTTTTTTTATTATTTTTTGACGCTACCAAAATTAAGTCGAGTAATACTTTTTGTTGTTATTGTGGATTATTGAACACAATGTTATTGTGAAACAAAATGTAAGAAATTATTTTCTAAAGCGGGTGCTATCATAAACGCGCGAAGAACTAGAATCAGTAAAAGGCATCTGCAAACAATTTTATTCTTAAATGTTAATTCATTTCAAATTGAAAATTATATTTTTAAATATTTTCGCATATAAACCATATATTTTATTTACTTTACTTTTTTACTTTTTCGAGTTCGAGATCATTCCATTCAAAGTCTTTCTGCCCAGTATCGGGCTACGTCTATGGCATTTTCATTTGCAATTTACATCTCATCGATAAAGCACGTTGCAGGACATAATGTGCATCCCAGCAGGTGGTCCATGTTTTGTACCTCCCCACATTCACAGAGGCACTGTTGGTCTTCCTCAGTTTTCCACTTCAGCTTGTTTGTTTTTACGGGTGCCACGCCGGTTCGCATTCGGTTTAGCGTTCTCCATGTCTTCCAGTCCAAATTTGACCCTGCACAGGGGCTTTCGTTGATAGGGAATTTGTCGGGCGGTTCCACGGTGGCACACTGAAGAAAATTTTTTCTCGATTTGAGCCTTTTCCGTTGTTGTTCTTGGCCATAAAGGACATGGCGATCGTCGAAGGTTTGCTTAAATTTTTCTACGTGCTCTATACTCATTCTTCTTTCGCTTGGTTCTGCGAAGTCCGCTGCTTTGTACAATTGGTTGATTGGTGTTGGTTTCATGCAGCCAGTAATAATTCTACAGGTTTGGTTTAAGGCGATATCGACCTGTTTATTGTCAGTTTTTTGTTCTTTAAGTAGTTACTACTCAGGAGTAATTTTAAGTAATTACTCTGAAGGAAATTATTATATATTATCACTATTTCTACTATCATCATCATTCTGTATTTTTAATAAAAAATTTAGAAACTAACATGTTCCTTTTGAAACCTATTACCAGGGTGAACTGAAACGTTGTAGCTTTTGAAGTTGAAGTAATTTTACGTTATTTGAAAGTTGTTAATTATTTTTATTCTTGGATATTGCGTATACGTGTTGGTAAATATCTTGCTTTTTATCATCTAATCCAATCCAAATTGCAAGATAAAAAATGGACTTGTTTTTTTAAACAGTTATCATATTTGACCCGGAGATAATCTGTTTGTATTTTTTTCTCAATACCACATTATAACTGTTTTTCAATAAAAAAATTGTTTTACCATGTCATGGAAACAACAACCAGTAGTGCATGTTTTGGCAATAATATCTTATGTATAAGCTAGACTGTTCATCTCTAATTAATTTGTCTGACTATTCAATATATAATTTCTTGAACATACCATTCGGCTTGTTTTTCTAACTCTCAACATTATGCATTAACTAATTGAACGGAAATTGTTATCTTGTATTAGTTCAAATGGCAGATTGGCTCAGAATCTGAACTACTATTTTAAAGTCCTGTAATAAAATACCTTCCGCCGATAATTATTGCTTTATAGGTATATTCAGCAAATGTGATTAGTTATCAAATCGGTGGTTAATTTGTAACATAACTTACCTAATAATTTATTTTAAAATACTTATTTTCTTTGTTAAAGCACCAGTTATATTTACTTCTTCCTCCATTTCATACTTTCAACTATAATTGGAAATATCGCCTTAGTGCTAAAAAACAAATTTCATGATATTAATGGCCTACTGTCCAGTTATGAAGCTGATCAATCAACAACTCTTATTAAAGGTAGATAATGCATCAAAGTACATTGCAATCTCTGAAAATCGTTGTTTTCTGATTAAAGGAACACAAAAAGTTAAAGATTTGTACTCATCGATGACGGATGTGGTGGGTCGATTTAATGAGCTGTTTGGCCCACAACTTTTTTTGATGGGTTTGCACTGTTCATCTCAAATCTTGCAATGGAGCGTATCGTTGGTATACAGCATGTTTACAACTAAAGATGATAATGTTAACGATTATGCCAGACTGGCTGTTGGAATCATTTACATATTTCTCATGTTGGTAAGTAGCTAATTTAAATAAAAATTTAAACCAACTTTTTTACGTTTTAAGATTTGGTTGGGTATCACAATGTTCTGTTGTGATATGGCTGTACTGGAGTCCGAAGAAATTATAACGATCTGCTACAGAATCCAACTAAAATATTCAGTGTTTTCTGAAGCCTATCAAAGTATCAAAAACTTGCTTTACTTAGTAACTAACACGAAAATTCGGTTTACTGCAATGGATTATTACGAAATTAACAGATCCACTATGTTTGATCTTATCGGTACCACCGCTACGTATTTTGTAGTACTGATACAGTTTTACGATGGTAACAAAAAGACTAGTTAAACTATTTGGCACTCGGCGAAGATCTAATAAATATAATCTTTTGTCTTATATATCTTGTTAAATATTTATTACTTAATATCCATGATCGAAGAGTTTGCGCATACATTAAATAGATACACATTTGAAACCATAATAATGTACACAATATACAGGGTCTCCCGATAAGTGTAAAGAGTGGCTGTATCTCGACAACGGTAAGGACTAGCTGTTGTAGGCGAAAAAATCCTTATAAGCCAGGTTGGCATAAAAATGGCTGAAAAATTTCATTGAAGTTTGTAACTCAGCCGCTAGGGGGCGTCACTTATAGCACAAATCAAAAAGTCTTGGTATCTCGGGAAAAAGAAGAGAAGACAACTTCGAAAACGTTATTTGAGAGTTTATCTCTTTTTATACAGTGTGTCGCACTTAAGTGGCCCCCTCGCTCTCCTGACCTTGCGCCAATAGATTTCTATTTCCGAGGTACTATCAAGCATAAGGTTTACAAAGTAAGGCCTCCAACTTCAGAAGAACTATGTGAGAAAATACGACAAGTCGGCCGTGAAATAAATGTAGCTGAACTTATGAGAGTTGTGTTATGCTTATGTTGTGCATTGCTCCTCCGATCAGGAAATGAGCCGGTGTGAGGGGTGTCAAATCACCGGGATCATGGGATAGTGGGGATATTGGACGTGAATTGGCGATTGCTTCAATTCGAATAATTAAAGTTTGAAAATCTACGATGAATAAAGTGCGATGACCTAAAGTGCGTTTGAAGTGATATTTCATTGCCTTTACCCCAGCCTCCTAGCACCAAAGTGTGGAGAGTTTGGAGGTATAAAATGCCATCTTATACCATTATTTGCAGCTGATTCCGTAATTTCAGCACCATTCGAGTTAAGAAAATCAGACATTGCACGCAAATCCTTGTTGACTTTAGCAAAGTTACAGGCGTTAGCGGAGTATATCTGACTAGGCCTACCACGACGATTGACAAATCTAGTAAGCGCTTGTAAAAAATCTGTTGTTGATAAAGAAGTTACAATTTCTAAATATATTGCGCGAGTAACTAAACATATGAACAGATATATCCAGGATTTTAAGAATTTTCGACCTTGTCCGCGGCGATCCTTAGTATCAAATGGACCGGCATAATCGATACCGACTGTTGTAAAAGGTAAGGCTGGTTGTGTACGAACCGCTGGGAGATCTCCCATAATCGGCTCTATCTTTTGATTTCGATATCTAGCACAGATCACACAATCATGACAAATCTTACGGGCAAAACTACGACCGGACGTAGGCCAATAGGTTTCACGTATATGGACTAAAAGAAGTTGCGGTGCTGCATGTAGCAACTGTTTATGCTCGAATTCAAATAGCAATTTACATAAATAGTGAGTATGTGAAATTAAAATAAGATGTTTTGTAGCATACGTTAACTGAGAGTGCCTTAACCGACCACCAACTCTCATTATCCCTTTAGTAGCAAGAAATGGAGACAAATCTAATATACGACTTTTCCTGGGTAAAGGTTTTCCCTGTTCCAGTAATTGATACTCTTCGAAAAATGACTGTTTTTGAGAATATACAATAATTTTTTCATATGCCCGATTAATTTCAGATACGGTTAAATGTCGTGTTCTTTGATTATAATTTTCTTTTCGAGTGATATTGACAAATCGATACATGAAAGCAACTGTAAGTTTCAGTGTAATAATACTTGGAAATATTTGAAACGGAAATATTTGGTTCTGGAATAACAAACATACAATTTTTGACCTCAGGTAAGTCAACGAGGTATAATCATATCTGGTCATTGACTTTGTTCTTCAGTAAGCCAGGTTGGGCCATTCCACCATAGCTTATTCAAAATTAACTTACCCGGACGCGATCCACGGGAAACTACATCCGCGGGGTTATTATCAGTAGGAACGTGTTTCCATTGACAACCCTTTGTCGAATTCTGGATTTCGACCATACGATGACTAACGAAAGGTTTTAATGTATTTGAAGTCGTACGAAGCCATCCTAAGAAAATTTTTGAATCTGTCCAACAGTAAATGTTTTCCAATGATAAGTCACATGTATTTTAATAATTTAATTTTAATGTCACTCGATATTACTATGGACTTCGCCCTGAATCGTAAAATTATATTAAAAAGATCTGGTTGAATCTTAGCTCCAGTCTTTTGTAATTTATTTAATGAAATACCTGTAGAAGTATGTGATGAGGCATTAAAAACTACTCTGAGTTTTGTTGTAGATCTGGACTCGCGTAACACCCCGTGGTGTGGCATGTAATACTCTACGGCCTCTCTGTCGGGTTCATTTTCCGTCACATGACCCAACTTTTCGTAATTTTCCATGAATTGACAGTACAATTTCTGAAACTCATTGTTTTTGCTTAGTTTTCGTTCCAAATTTACAAAACGTTTTACTGCTATATCGCGTCATTCCCCTAACTTTTCTGGTTCAGATATTTTCATATTTGCCCTAAAATGATTTTCACATACAACTCTTCACCCGACAAGGTAAAACTATTGTTATCAATTTCTTTAACTTCCCAAAATTTCCAAAGGGTTGTCGATTTCTAAAGTTTGGCCAAAATTGCAAGACGTACCACTGGACTTTTGATACAAAAAATCCATAGGACCTATCCATCCTAAAGGTGTTTTCCGTAGAATTGGTTTACCGAGACCCAAACTTCGCTGTCGATTACCCAAAAGCCACCAAAAATGATTTTCCCCTATTAAAATCTCAATTGAGCTTGGTACATTGTAATTAGGGTCTGCTAAACTAATATCAGTCGGAATACGCAAACTACTAGTGTCTATTGCCCTCTGAGGCAATGATCCTGTGATTTGATCAATGGCAAAACAAGACATTTGAAGTGAATAAGATCCATTTAACGGAAGCAAACGAATATTACATTTGTTATGCGCGTAAGACAACTTGTTATTGATACCCGTAACAAGTAAATTCGCAGGCTCCATTTGTAAATTGTAGCGCTCGCAAAATGAACTTGTGATAAAGTTTGACTCGGATCCCCAATCTAAAAAGACTCGAGCTTTGACATGAACTCCATCATTATCCACAACGTAAACTTGCGCCGTTGGAAGAATTGAACCATTCGAAGAACAAAAGTTACAATTAGACGCTTCAATTTCAGATATGTTTCTTGTATTAGCCTGACTATTACTGGTTCTATAAAACTCAGGATTGTGAAGTCGTATTAGGTTTCCCTTGACAAAGTTTACAAACCGACCATCTACAATCTTTCGCGTTATGGCCGCGGCGTAAACAGTTACAACATAATCGTAATCTTTCCGCATTCGACTTTCTATCTGTAAAACTCATTGCAAGAAACTGCTCACATGAGTATAAACAGTGATTACCTTTGCACAGGAAACATTCCAATTCTTTTTTGCCCTCAGTCGGTTCTTCGTTTGTGACCCCTAGTAGCCCACGAGTCTCCCGCCGTGAATTAACAACCTTTTTATCTCGTTTGTCGAAATTATGTTCCAGTGTCTCTAAAACATTTGCTCGTTCACATAAAAATGTCTTAAAATCATCTGATGAAACCGTTTCAAACTTAGCCCGATGACGTTCCCATTCACTTGCTGTATAAATGCTTAATTTGTTCATCATAATATAAATGATCAATGTATCCCACTTTTCTGTAGGCTCACCAAGTTATTCCAAACTACTCAAATGTTTTGAAACACTGTCACAAAGATTTCTCAATTTCAGGGCTGTATCTGTCATTATACTTTCTGCATTGAATATTGCTTTGAGATGATTCTGCACAAGCAGTCGTTTGTTATTAAAACGTTGACATAAAACCTGCCACCCCGTATGATAAGCATCTGCTGTAAATTCCAATGATTGTATGACCTGCGCTGCTGTACCTATCAAAGATGCCCTCAAATAATAATATTTCTGAATGTCACTAATATGATCATTATGATGAATCAGAGATTCAAATATGTCACGAAACTCTAACCAATTATAATATTCCCCTTCGAACTTAGGAATCTTTGTTTCCGGTAGCTTAACGCTTTCCAGCTTGGCTGACTGCGAAGAACTTTTCGATATTTGCGACTGCGCATCATCGTCATTTAAACCACTTTTTTTGTTCTTTGATAATGCCTCTATTGTTAATTTAGCATTAGTCAATAGCGTATAATCCCTACCTAATTCAAATTCTTCGCGTTCAACACTGGTTTCCGTCTCATTGATAAATTCTATCCCGTTTTGAATTTGATCAAATTGATACAAAATTCCTATAAACCTGTCCATGCGCTGTTCTAACTGAACCGCCATTGCTCTTTCACTCTGAGGATCTAACGTCGTATCTATCGCAATCGATTGACGCAACTGAATTCAAATGTTTTTCAAAAAGTGTAACTTTTGATTTTAAAACGCTTCGCCTCTTTGTTAAATCGCACAACTTCTCTGTTTCCATGATTGAGCACGTGTTTACTTAAAAATAAAACTTTATTTACTTCGTATCGTATGTAACGTTTAAAATTATATGTTATTATATTATTTTTAATTCGTAATAATACAATAACCAACTAGGCATGCAATTCCAAAATACGCACAAGTAGGCTTTCGCTGCTACCCGATAAAATATCACCATAAACGAAAATAAGCTTATTCTTCGAATTGTTACAGTCGCTCAATTCAACCAAATTACTTCAAACGGATAAAATGAATAAGAAAACTCACTGTGTCTCGAACCAGCCTATCTTGCTGCGATCCGCCAAGTGAATTTCGTCTGTTTTCTTCTTCAATCGTATTTTTACCGTGTTTTCCACTGCTTTGCCTACTAAATTCGGCTTGAAGGACAATGTAACGTGTGACGATGTGGACTGTATAAAATTTAAACACTTGAGATCAGTAGAAAATACCGAATTTAATTACCAAAAACAGAGCTTCTAAAATCTGCACCTGTTAGCTCGAAAACTATGAAGTCGTCTACCTCTACTTCAGCGCTGGGTCCAATTCCGTTCCTTTTCCGCCTCAACAACTTGTAGTATCTTATGTAACAGGTGGACATCATCAGG